GACCTGAAGTCAGGAAGAACTGAATTTAAATCTAGCCTCAGACATTTACTAGATATGGGACCATGGACAAGTCACTGTCTACCTCAGTTTCCTCATTGTAAAATGGAGATAATAATAGCACCTACCTCCCAGGGTCATTGTGAGGTTGAGATAATATTTGTCAAACACTTTAAACTTTAAAGCACTATATAAACGGTGGCTATTATTATTATTATTATTATTTTGTATTCAAACTCATTTCTAGCTCTGCTACATCTGGAGTCATTGGTCCTCCTAGTTTGGAAGCCATTTAAAAGGCTTTTTACCACCACATTGTACCAGTCATCACGGTCAAAGGTACCTTATAAAGTTCCATGTGCTGGATGCTCATCCAGTAGGCAGAGAATGTTTGTACAACCTTCAAGAACAAAGCTCCCCACCCCCACCCCATTATAGTCCTTTGGTAGAAAGATAACTAGGTTAGGAGTCAGGAGACTAGTTTTGCTACTAATTGCCTACATGATCTTGAGCTGTCTCATTTAACCCAACAAGCATCAAACATCCATTGTGTTCAAGGAACTACTGTAGGAACTGGCGCACAAAGACAAAACAAAAAATGATCTTTGTCCTCATGGAGCCAACTACTACCAGGGGGACAGCTCGGTATATAAATGATCACTGGAGGAGGAAGAGAGCACTACCAGGGGGACCAGGAAAGGCTTCTTGTTGGAGGTAGCGCAAGGGCTGTCCTTTGAAGAAAGCAAGGGATTCTGAGAGGCAGAGGTGAAGAGAGCGGATATTCTAAGAACGCGAGGTAGATTCAAAAAGGCATGGAAGTGGAAGATGGAATGCAAAATTTGGGGGTACATTAAATAAGCCAGTATAGCCTCAGAGACACAGTGAAGGCTCAGAGGCAGTTGGTGGAAAAGTGATTAAAGCTCTGGACCTGGAATTAGGAAGACCTGGGTTCAAATCCACATTCAGACGCTTACCGTGTAACCTCAGACAAGTCACTTACGCCCCTGTTCACTTGGATAGCGCTTAGGTGGTGGCTAGGTACGTGGAAAGGACGGGAAGCGAGATGCTGTGGGAGCAGGACGCGACTTAGCAAAGGACTGGACACGTGGAGTGAGGGCAGCGGCAAGAGTCGAGGAGGAGGACGAGGTGACAAAGCGGGGTGGCTGGAAGGATGGTGGTGCCCTTGACGTAAACGGAGTCATCTGGAGAAGAGGAGGCTTAGGGGGTGAGGTGAAGAGACTAAGTATTTCTGTTTTTGACATGAGTTTGGGATATCTGTAAGATGCCCAGATGTCCAGGAGCCAGTTAGGAGGAGGAAGGAGATGATGATATGGATTCGGGCTGGATATATAACTCTAACAGCCACCCGCATAGAGATGATGAGGAAATCCTTTCAACTTTCCGCACATCAGTTAATCTGAATTTATTATCTCCTTCTGTGTACCAGGCGTTTTCCTTTGATCCCTTCTCGATCTCAAATACAAAGATTTGCCTAGCTTCATTTAATGCCTTGTTGATGATGACGATCAAATATGTTGAGTCATTTGCATCACCATACTTAGGCTTTTGTCTTTTACTGCCCTCTAGTGCTGATCTAGTAACATAGACTTGCGAGGTTCCCCTTTAGGAAAGAAAAAAGCCGATTCCTTGCTAGAAACCCAAAAGACAAGCACCAAATAAAAAATAGTTTTATTTGGTCTACTGGGCACAAAGAACTCATCACCTGAAATCACACGACTTAGTACAGTAGGTTTTTCTACCATGACCTTGCTTACCTCTGCCATTAGTTTCCTGGTGGCTTTTGAGTGGGCCTAGTGTTCACATTTGTTTGTAAATATGGAATTGGAGGGGCTCTGGGAAAACATTGCACCTTGATGGACTTTTGAATGGGTATAACCACTTTGGAAAGCATTTTGGAATTGTACACAAAAAGCTACTGAACAGTGCATGCCCTTTGACTCAGTCAAATCACGCTGGGCCTACACCCAAAAAAAAAGATCAAATAAAGAGGAAAAGGTATGCTGATAAGTATAAAAATATTTGTAGCCCCTTTTCGTGGTGACCAAAAACTGAAAACTAAAGGGATACCCAACAACTGAAGAATGGATGAATAAGCTGTGGTATATGAATGTTATGGAATACCAATTATGCTCTTGTTGTTGTTAAGTCGTTTCGGTGTTTCTGATTCTTTGTGACCCCATTTTGGGTTTTCTTGATAGATACTGGAGTGCTTTTCCATTTCTTTCTCCAACTCATTTTACACATGAGGAAACTAAGGCAAATAGGGTTGTGACTTGCCCAGGGTCACACAGCTAGCAAGTATCTGAGATCAGATTTGAACTCAGGAGGATGAGTCTTCTAACTCTAGGCCTGGCACTGTATCCACTGCATCAACCTAGCTACCTCAGTTATGCTCTAAGAAATGAGAAAAAAGATGATTTTCAAAGACACATGGAAAAACTTCTATGGACTAATGCAGAGTGAAGTAAACAGAAATGGAAGAACACTTTATACTGTAACATCAATATTATATAAATGAACAATCTTAAAAGACTTTTAAAAAAACTGACGACGATGGAAATGAGTGGAACCAGAACAATTCATACAATAACAACACTGTTAAAAACATTGTTAAAAAAAAACACTTCAAAAGATGTAAGAATCATGACCAATATGAGTATTCACGGTTCCAGAGGACCAACAATGAAACATGCTATCCATGACAGAGAGGTGATGGATTTTGGAAGCTGAATAAGGCTTATATATTTTTGTATACAACCAATGGGTGAATTTGTTTTGCCCGATTATGCATATTGGTTACGAGGAATTTGTTTTTCTCTTCTTTTCTTACAATGAAGTGGGAAGTGAAGGAAGAAAACAGACTCCTGTTCTTCAAATATAGATGTTTTAAACAAAGAAGGGCAGAATGGTGGTATAGATGTGGAATGTTGCATGCACCTTCAGAGGAGGTCATTACTCATTTTACTTTACTTGTTAGTTCTGCTGATTTGTTTACTTACGATCCAAGAAGTTGGTGTTAACCCAGGAGCCAGTTCCTAAAAGTAGAAGCAGTGAATGTAGCTAAAAATAAGCAAGTTGGGGTGTGGCACAGGGCAAGAGGCCCTCGTGAAGTAGGGGATGCTGTAAATTCTTGTAATGTTAAAAAATGAAAGATGTGCTAAGGTTTTTACAAAAAGTTTTTTACATACCCCTGTAGTATGAATACCGGGCCCTGAGGAAGAATAGATTTCCTGACAGGTTATTATTATATCGTTATACACCAGTAGATACAAAAATGACAGATATGTATCTTAAGAACAATTCCCCTTTTGTGGTACAAGAAATAAATTTGATGTCACAATTGCTCGGAGCCCTCATAAAGGCACTTTATGGACGTCTGCTATCCTCTTCCAGGAGCAGCTCATCTACGGATCCCATTGTTTGCACTGGCACAACCCAGCATGGTTGATGGGATGGTTGAAGATTTCGGATTTATTCATGATAGGTTAACCTGGAGAGCTGACATTTTAAACTTAACTAGTGTTTTCTGTCTTTTCTGGAATCCAAACCCCTTAATTTCCAATGAAAGTTCTGAAGCTTTATCAGAAAGGCAAGGAGAAAGAGAACCCTGCTTCTCCAGCCCTTTTGGAGAGGCCTGCATGGCTTTTCAGGCTGCCCCAGCTGCAGGAGAAGCAGACATTTAGCAATGTGCTTAGAAGTCACCGGTAAAGTGAAGACTGCGGCAGAACTGGGATCAACACCGTCACTGTTCATGGGAATGAATATTCCTATATGTGTGGAGGGGGTAAACAGACCCAGAATGTTGAGCCTGTCTGAGCCTAAGGATTGGCACGGGTCTACAGATCCTTGAGAGAGAAACCACAGTGGTGACTAGTCCTCAAAATACTGGTCACTGAAAAGGGACTTATAATTTAGGGAGAAGTAATGGCAATGAGGGGACAAGATTACAAACACACAGGCATGGGAAGGTGAATAAAAGAAAAGTAAATAATTACTGAATAAACAGTATTTTACCAATAAACCCCGATTTAGTGTTTTCAGTACTGTACTTGAGTTATCCGGAAGGATTTGGGAATCATACTTTGTTGAGAGTAAGAAGGCAACTGTTCCAGAAATACAGGAAAACATGAAATAAGCTAAGGAGATAGGAGTGGGAAGAGAGAACGTGAATATAACAGTTCACATTTAAACAGTACTTTAAAGCCTGCATATATAGCCTCTCATTTTATCCTCACAACAGTCCTGTGAGGTAGGTGCTATTATCCCCATTTTACATATATGGAAAGTACAGCTGACAGAGGTTAAGTTACTTGCCCAGGGACACATAGCTAATGTCTGAGGCCAGATTTGAAGCTGGATTTTCCTGACTTTTTAGGGTCAGTACTCAACTCATGATGCTGCAAGTGACCCTTGAGACTAATGAAGGTATTTTTGTCTGGAGTAAAGAAGTAAATTGGAGGAAGAGCAAGTGACAATGGAAGGAATGGGAGGCATACTTTTTAGAAAGCCATAAAGGCCAGTATTTGATTAAAACTTGATCTGAAAGAAACTGGAAGACTCAATGGATAGTTTTGACTAGGAGGAATAGGAGATGTGGAGATGGATGGAGTAACAGAGGAAGACATTTGAAATCTATATTGAGAGAAAATGGTTACTTTGTTTTGTTCTTTTTTTTTTTTTAGGCAATTGGGGTTAAGTGACTTGCCCAGGGTCACACAGCTAGTAAGTGTCAAGTGTTTGGTCTGAGGCCGGATTTGAACTCAGGTCCTCCTGACTCCAGGGCCAGTGCTCTATCCACTGTGAAACCTAGCTGCCCCCACTTGCTTGTTTTTAGCTACATTCATTGCTTCTACTTTTAGGAATTGGCTCCTGGGTTAACACCAACTTCTTGGATCATAAGTAAACAAATCAGCAGAACTAACATTTTAGAAATAACTTCTGAGAGTTGACATTCAGATTATCATTCAGAAATTCAATAAACATTGAAATGACAGGGCAGTTTTATTATAAGAATCATCTGCGTTTTATTTCTATTTTTACAGAGTAATGATTGAAGCCTGATTTGTCTGTGTACAGTAGGGATAGTTGATCTGCCAAAGGACAGAATTCTGGTGTCAGAATGGGCATCTGAAAAGTAGTCACCGGTCTTATCCACGGTAACTAGAAAATATTCTTCTGTACGATCACCAACTGTGATAAAACCTGAGAATGTTACATACATTAACACAATAGGTACTACCTTATAATTAAGTCTTGCTTGGGAAATGGTCTTTTAAAAGGTGATTGGAGGTACAAATTGTCCAAGTAATAAACAAAAGGGCATTCTATTTAACAAAGAGTTAAACAAATGCATCAAATGATTACAATTTGGTGGCTAAAGCTGCTAATCAGGCTCAATGACGCACTGTTCGACAATTTCCCGTAAGTTGGGGTTCTCCATGGCAGCTGCTACTCTCTCCTTGTCATTGATTTGTTTATTTACTGCAAAATACAAAGAATAAAGTTAACAGATAATAACGCAACAAGTTGAGGCAATCAACATGGTTTACACCCAGGAAATCAGAGTACTTACCTATCTGGGCATTTATAACAAACCCTGACTTCAGTAACTTTACCACATCATGTAATTGCTACAGACAGCCTTCTTGGTGGGCTAGTTAAGGTTGAATTACTCCTTTTCTTTCTTTATTGTTTTGCTTTAGACAACCAATCAATCCGTAAGCATTTATAAAGCACCTACTATGTGCTGGGTACTAAACTAGGTCCTGTGGCTATTCCAAAACACCCATGATTTCACTGGTTCAGGAGTTTAATTAATCGTTTTCCTATCACTGATTGGATTTCATGGATTTGTGGTAAAAGTGAATCTTTTGGAAAATGAAGTGTAACCCCATCCAGCTAAATGTGCACACTACAGCCCCAAAAGCAGGACTAAGCGGAAAGAACGATGGACAGCAGACCTGGGTTCAAATACTGGCTTCAACACTCAGTGGCTGTGTGGACCATCAAAAAATTGCTTAACCTTTTGAAACCTAGCTTCCCCTCCTGCAAAATGGAGATACAACTTGCCTTATTTATTTAATAAGGCTATTGTAAAGAAATTCATTTGCAAACCTTAAAATTATATTAATGCAGATTATTATTCTTACTACCCCAAACATGTTGTTTAAAAAAGGCACATTCCATTGTATTCTAGGCCTGGGTCACATGGATGCACATCACTACAGTACTGTTATCAGACTGCTCAATTATTAAAAAAAAAAAATTTTTTTAAACCAGCCTGAATGGACTCAGGATCACCTGAGCTCTAACAAGGCCTCCTCATTTTTCTAATAAAAGGGAAGGAACCACCTCACGCCGGCATCAGCGCTTCACAGTTTACAAAGTCCTTTCACATATGTTATTACTGAATTTAAGTCTCACAACAACCCTGTGAGAAAACTGAGACTCAGAGATACTAAGTGATTTTCCCAGGGTCTCACAGTGCATGACAGACCCCACTTATTAATCCCAGGACCCTGGATCCCAAGTTCAGCTCTCTCTCCATTAATGTCACATGGCTCCTATCCACCACAGAATTACTCAAAATTCAATTCAATCTCGGACTAGGCTTGGTCACTCTCTAAATCACCGTGGATAAAATCCCAACTTCAAAATGCCTTGGGTTTCTCCACCAGTGAGAGAGTACCTAATGTATGCCTCATTATTTCATGCACATGACTATCTAGTAAATATATGCTGGCTAATTATATGATTCAATATTCAATACAAAAGACTAAAAATGTCCATTTTTATAATGTTTCAGAACCACTTACTATCTTCTTCCGTGGAATGGGTTCCTTCAGAAATGTAGATTTCCAACTAGAGATAAAAAAAAATTAAACACAAACATTAAAGCATTTAGAGACAACATGGTTAGGTAGAGCAAGTGACAGGCTAAGAATCTGGGGATCTGAGTTCTAGTTATACAAATAAAGAATTGTGCAGCTTTGGGTTAAACTTGAACCCTCAGTACCACAATTCTTTTCTGGACATTACTGATTTTAAAAAAAACAGCCAGCTTTTCAAACAGCCATCAAGAATGATTTATTAAATTAACACAAATTCTTTGGCAAATAACAAGGCAGACTGCACATGATAAACAAAAGGAATTTCTAACATGCAGAAAACCTGAGTATCTATTATTTACTTCTTGCTGAACACCGAGAATGACTATATGTATACATGCTTTTGGCCTGAGACAGAACCACAGCACCAAAGAATATTAGTGTTGGAAAGGGCCACAGGGAACAAATCTCTAGTTCAAGCTCTTCCTTCCATAGGGGTTACAAGCACCTAAATGCCTTTACTGATGCAACACTTGCCTTATCTCATCTGTGAGCATGGTGCAACAGATGTCATGCCTTCACTAAATGATTGATAAAAGTGCAAACTCCTCTGACTCACAGGTCACCCACATGACTGGGCAAACCAAGCTACCTATCATCAGTGGTGGAGAAGTAAACAAGGCCTGGCAACATGAATGCCATTTAGAATGGTTGGTCAAAAATGTTCTTCCTTACCTTATGTTTGAAAGGTAAACACCTCTGAAGTTTTACTCGTAAGCAAAGCCCTGCAAAAAATAGAGAAAGGAATGATATTGATAAGCTTTGAACAAAGCAGCCAGTGGTGACTCTGTGACAGCAGTTATTGTCATATGTCCCACCATTCTTATGTGACAGTGGCTGTCCCCTGGAGGAATGAAAGGAGGCATGCTGTGTGCAAACCACTGGTAGTGATTAATCCCAAACTGCTTAACAAATTAAGGACCACATAAGTTTGAGACAAACAAGTACAGTTTCCATGTGCTACAGAAAATCTCAAGAAATCTGTCAAATCTGGTGTTCTCTATCACTACAGAGGACAAATTCAGAATTAATGCCTTCTCTATTGGATGTCCTTAAGGCAAATGTTTAAAAGTAAAATAGTACTCAAGATTTATCTAATAAATCTGGCCTTACATTTTCTAACCATATAAGGTCACTCGATCAAACAACTTTTACTAAACTGCTCAAACCATGAACAGAGATTTTCAGGTTGCAGAAATTTAAAGTAGGTGACAGTGACATGTATGCAGACTGTGGGTAAAAAGGCTACACATTATAGGTATCTGAAAGACTCAGTAGACAGACTGCTGAACTTCTAGTCAGGAAACTAGCTGTGTGACCCTGGGCAAATCACTTAAACTCTGTCAACCTCAGTTTCCTCATCTGTAAAATAAGGTAATAATAGCCCCTATCTCATAGGGTTGCTGTAAACATCAAATGAGATAATACAATGAGATAAAGCACCTTAAGGAGTTGTATAAATGTGAACTTAATATACTAGCAAAGATGACTTGTAAATGAGAAGTGACGTCAAAGATATCAAGAGACCGGGACTAGAAAAGGAAGTGGGGAGGCACTTAGTGAAAATGAAAGTGTGGATTAGAGGTGGGCAGCCCACAGTATTCATAACATGCTAAAGGAGCCAGAAAACAAAAGCCTCCAGTGCATTGGGAAGGTCCTTTATGAAGGAATTCTTTTTTTAAATCCATAAATAAGAATCACACAGGATGAGAAGGTATAAAAGAGAGGTAAGCTACACCACTGAATAGAATCCCCACAAAATCTTCAATCCAACAAAGGATCAACAGTGATATAACACCAATTCTACTTTCCCAGCCTTGTTTCTCAGAGAAATTCATACACCCTTGTATTCAATAGGTGGTAGTGTCAGGGTATTGTTAACCTGATAGGAAAACTTTCAGGGTTCAAACAAGCAAGAAATTACCAGGACAACTCCACTTTGTCCTCATTCTAGGCGTATTCCCTTTATAGTATCGTGAAATCAATGTGTGTTTGGTCTAAGTATCATTAGCTACACTCCCAGAATCATTTAAAAAGAAATGGGAAAACGAGAAGTCAAGGAGCACAGACCAACTCAGCAGGAAAATATGACTTGAAAAGCGATGTACATGATTAGTCTTAAAGAAGATCTATAAAAGCTGTTCTTTCTCCTATGTGCCCTTTCCCAAATTAGTTATCCTCAGACGATATATTCTAATCACAAACAGCACCTGATTTCAACTGCAGTATTTCTTGTTCAGAATGTGATGAAGTTATCTTCCAACCCAAATGAATCTGTCCCTACCTTTGTTTGGTCATTTCAAATCAGTTCAACTATGGTGAATGCCTCCCTGGACAGCTCCCTCTCCAGAATTACTCACTCCAGTGACTACAAGTGGGCGATAACGTCTACTTCCAAGTACCAAGAGCCAATCTAGCACGCTAGCCATTTTAAGATAATATTCACAGCATCATATTTCAACAATAACCATATTACCCCACACTAAGACCCTTGAAGTAAAATTCAAGGACTTTACAAAAATAGTCAGTGATTAAAGGTGTGTTGAAAGTGCCAAGAAGTGTCAGAATCTGAAATATCACCTCCTTCCAGATGGCTGGTTTAGATGGGATTTTATCCAACCTGTGGTTTAGTGGCCTAGAGAAAGGTTTCTGATGGCTCTCACTACTCCCTTTCTCCCTTCCTCTTCCTCAGTCTCACTTCCCTTGTCTGCTGCATATTTTGGATATAAATGATGATGAGAAGGAAGAGTGAAATTACAACTGTAAGGGGAACAAGAATAAAATATTAACTTGGAAAGTGCTTCTACAGACTATGTGGTCTTACCAAAACTGGACCCAAAGGTACTTGTGACCCACTCAACTATCTCCAAACTGCAATGTGGCCTGCAGAACTACACCAGAGATCACTCATTTGGGTCAATGTATGTGATAATCTAGCCATCCATACAATTCAGACTTACCACTTTTCAACATCCTGATATGTACTCACACAACTGGGTAAATCAGGGAGTTACTGCTCACACCCCAACAGAGGAGAATATATCTCAGCCTACAGCTTTTCCAAACTGAAGACTGACAACAGAGGTTACTCAAAACATAACATTTAGTGCTGAAAGGGTCTTCTTAGATCACCTGGTTTAACTCCATTTTACAGAAGGGAAAACTGAGACCCAGAAAGGACAGATGATTTAGGAACAAAGGAACATTTGGAGCTGGAAGGGACATCTGGTTCACACTCCCTCTTCCCCTCTCAATTTTACAGAGAGAAAAGTGAAGCCCAGAAAAGGGAAGAAAGTTGCCTAAGGTCAAATGATTAGCAAGTAGCAGAACTGGTATTCCAACTGAGGTCTTCAGTGTCTAAACCCAGTACTGTTCTGATTATATCACTTCCCTGCCAGATCTAACCCATCTCTTAGCTAACACAGGGTTAAGAATTTATTTAATAGTCACTCTCTTGACACCCCTCCCTCCCAATACTAGAGATTTCCTCTGGCAGTCTTAGCTATTCCACCAGTATCTACTCACTTAAATGCTATATTTTTTTTTCCTCTCATTGCTTCCCTTCTTAAAAATTGAAGTGCTTACATAACACCAGAGATACTATTAGATAACAATGAAAACACTGGTAAGCAGCTAGATAACACATAGCTCAAAATTTCTCTTTCTTTCCTTTTTGCTTCTCATTCTACAAACCTTTCTAATGAAACTAGAGGTGATGGACTCAAGTTGCAGAAAGACAAACATTTTTGAATACAATCGATGTGAGAATTTGTTTTGCTTATCCATGCATATTTTTTACAAAGGTTTTATCTTTCTTTTTTCTCAAAGTCAGGGTAGGGGGTAGAGAAGGGCAACGAAAAAGAGAGAGGGGAGCTAGGGATGGAGTTGTCAAAAGCAGAAAGAAAAAGAAAAAAAGAGGATTATGGAAAGATGTTTTTTCCTTTTTTTTTTCCTTTTAGTGAGGCAACTGGGGTTAAGTGAATTGCCTAGAGTCACACAGCTAGTGAGTGTTACATGACTGTGGCTGGATTTGAACTGAGGTCCTCCTGACTCCAGGGCCAGTGCTCTATCCACTTTGCCACCTACCTGTCCCCACGGAAAGATATTTTTTAATGCTTAGAAGAGAACAGAAGGAAAGCCCAAAAGAACCACAGACAAACAGGATAGCATTTTAAATAACACATAGGATTTATTATATAATTTTTTAAAAAGCAAGTAGTACATAAGAGACAAGCAAATTCATGTATTACCCACACTCTCAGTTCCACTATGCATACGTAAATGCTCATTTTAGTTGCTATTTGTTAAGTTCAGAATAAAAAGAACTTTTTTTTTAAACTATAGAATAACATCCTATGGAATAATAAGCAAGGGTGCTTTAGAGGGCTCTTGATTTTGAACAGCTAAGAACAGCTAATTATAAAACCAGCGTAATTAAATCTATTTAATTTTCTGTTCAAGTTCTATTTAAAGTGTTTAATAGTAATTAAGCAATAGCTTTCTTTAAAGTTTCGGTGACAGTTTATAAACATGACAGGTGCTAAGGACTATCACTAAGGGATACCAGCAAGTCAGGGTTGATAAGTAAACACCCACATTGTATGTTGAGTTAAGATATAAACCAGAGGGAGGGACAAGGCAAGAAGCTGACCCTTGAGTCCAGGAGCACAAGCTCTGACAAGTTCCACCAAGCCTGAAAGGCCCTGGAGATGCCCTGTAAGGCTGCTGTCCAATGACTGGCCTTGCTAATGGAGGAAGAGGGTCATTACCAGAAAGGGAGGCCACTAGGTGATTTTTTTTTTTTTAGTCACAGAAACTTCCAAAAAATCTATTAAGGTGAGGAGAGACTGTAATTTGTGTAGATGGAGGAAACATTTACACCAATGGAAATTATAAATCCCTGAAGTCAGGAGATCATTTTAAAAAGCTGAGAAAGAAAAAAGCATAAGCCTAGAAGCATCTCCTAGCCTTGGTAAGAAAAAGGCTCCTAACATTTCTGGAAGAGAGAAAAAGAATGCAAGAGAGATGTAAGCAAAGACATAAGTAAAATAAAAAATGTTTTCATTATGGAGGAATTACCTTAGAAAGAAGCAAACCATTGAAGGGACTAGTTCCTCCTTACTCCTGCAACCCATGCCTCTCTTAATGCTGCCCAAGACCAAATTAGTTTTTGTTTTGTTTTGAAAGGGAGCAAGTTTATTCTTGCTATCTTTAGTTTGAACATCACCTCTATTTTCCAATATACTCTTCCCATCTCCTTCCTTATAATAAAGACAAAAAAAAGAGGAAAAAAATAGCTCAGTTGGTTCTGCTTACTTTACTCTGCCTCAGTCCACAGAAGTCTTCCCATGATTCTCCATTCTTCCTATTCATCATTTCTTAGGGACCGGTAACATCCCATTACATTCACATACTGAAATCAACGGTCATCATTACCCTTCCTAGCTGCCACATTACACACTGCTGGCTCAGGCTGAGCTTGTGATCCACTAACCTCCCCCAACTCAGATCCTTTGCAGAAGAGCTGCCATTAAAACATACTGTCCACATCCTCTACTTGTGAAGTTTAGCTAGGAACCCAAAAGTAAGGCTTAACATTTCTCTCTATTGAACTTCACAGGATTAGTTTCAGTCTGGATTTCAGACTAGATTTTCTAGTCCATCAGGATTTTTTAAGACACTGATTTTGTCATTCAGAGTGTTGGCCACCCCTCCTAGCTTTGTGTTATCTGCATAGCTAATGAGCATTATCCAAGACTGACAAAAAATGTTAAACAGCACAGGGCCAAGCACGAATATCTGGAAGAGTCTACTCAAAGACTCCTGCCTGGCTGACACTGAACTACCGAGAACTGCTCTGAATTCAGCCATTCAACCTGTTCTGAATCCGACTCACCGTATGATCACCTCCACATCTCTCCATCTTTTCCACTAGAATAGCATGAGATCTATTATGAGAAGCTTTGTAAACTATTTCTCCAGCAATACCCTCACCTATAAGCTCAGTAACCGTATCAAAAAAGGAAATAACATTAGTCTCTCATAACCTATTCTTGATGAAGTCGTTATAAACATAATTTCTTTTTCTTGATATTCATTAACCATCCCTTTAATGATTCATGCTAGAATTTTCCTAGGAATTGAAGTCCAGCTCACTGGCCTATATCTTGTGGATTCTGTTCTCTTTCCTTTTTTTTGAAAATCAGGACATTAAATGCTATCCACCTCTGGAGAGAGAACTAATGAACTCTGAGTACAGATTGAAGCATACTTTTTTTTTTAACTTTATTTTTCTTGGGATTTTTTTTGTGCGTTCCTTTGCAACAAGGCTAATATGGAAATATGTTATGCATGATTTCACATGTATAATCAATATCATACTGCTTGTCTTTTCAAGGGATGAGAAGGGAAACAATATGGAACTATTTTTTTTAAATGAAATGTCAAAATTTTTATATGTACTTGGAAAATATTTAATGAAATAAAAATATATTTTAAAAAAGAAACTTAAGCTATTTGCTCTTCTCCAATCTTGTGATATCTCTCCCATTTTCCATGACCTTCCAAAAATCACTATCAGTGATTTAGCTATTATACCCCACTGGTCCTTTCAGGGACAGGTAACTTGAATTTATCAAAGGCAATTACATGCTCTATTACTATTTCCTTAATTATTTTGGGTGTTAACTCCCTATTAACTATCTCTGTTCTATTATTTCAAGTCATGGACCATTCTCTTTAGCAGAAAAATCAGAACAGAAATAAGAAATGACCAGCTTAGTCAGCTCTCTGCTAAGGGTTTTCATTAGCCCATCTACTCTCTAAGCAGAAGTCCTTCCTCTGCTTTGATTCTCCTCTTTCTCTCCAAATAGCTTTTAAAAAAATACTTTTTTGTTGTCCTCATATTTTCTTGACATCCTCTCAACTCATTCTGTGCTTTAGTAGTCCCAAGTCTATTTTTGCAGGACTGTGCCATGTTTACTTATATTCATCCTGCATCTTCTGTACATCTTAAAAATATAATTTGGTCAGTGGGCTCCCTGTGCATATCTAAGAGCATCTTTAAACTTTTTTTTCCTTCTTTCACAATGAAATTGCCTCCCCTTGTGTCTTCAGAATTTCATCCTTAAGAGCTTTCTATCTCACCTGGGCTCACTTCCTCTGTAGAATTTATTTCATGGGAATCCTGCCTATATTTCCTATGCCCTTTCTGAAATCCACTCTTTCAAAATCTACGGTCATGGGATCACAGATTTAGAACCACAAAGGATGTCAGAAATCATCTAGCCCAAACAGTTAATAAGTAGTATAGAGATGATTTCAAACCCAGGTCTTGTGACTTCAAATTCAGTGCTTTTTAAATTTATTATTATTACTTTTTTTTTTATTTTTACGCAATTGGAGTTAAGTGACTTGCCCAGGGTCACACAGGTAGTAAATGTCAAGTGTTTGGTCTGAGTCCAGATTTGAACTCAGGTCCTCCTGATTTCAGGGCCGGTGCTCTATCCACTGCGCCACCTAGCTGCCCCAAATACAGTGCTCTTGACATTACACTAAGATCTTTCAATGCTGTGACAAAGATGATACCTTAAATCAAGTATCCTTAGCATAAGGCAAAGGACAAGGGCCAATCAACAGAGCCAAAATAGATTCAGAGTAAGTTTGGTGATTAAAAGGAGCCTAAAACTGCTTTTATTAATTTGGAACAGGTATAAAAGAAGAAAATAACTAAGAATAACCACTAAATAGACAGTGGAGAAAATTCCTAATTGGATCTTGGAGTGTGGTTGCTTTAAAAGTTTGTTTGAAAAATATGTACTATGATATTTATTTAAGTTTAGTTGTATTAATCAAGAGATTTATTTTTAATACAAAACATAGAAATCCATGATTATAAAATCTGTGGCAGCTCAAGCAGACAGCTACCACCTGAGTTTTGGGAAGAGTACATTCCTTATAGTTTAGATCATATCACTTGGCAACCAGTTAGCAGGATACCTAACTTATAGGGGCAGTTATTTTTGAAAAATAGATGAATTCCTTCTGGAAGCTAAATTTGCAAAATTACAATTATGAATGACAATTTTGTCGTAATGAACAAAAAGATGACCATTTGAACATTACTGAACATGCATTCTGCACAGAGTAAACAGCTCAGAAGAGACGGTATATTTTCATAAAACTTGCTACACAATCTCATTAATAGCTAATCTTAAACAATGAAATACAGTCTTGCAAGTGGAAAACATACCACAATAACACGATTCGCCCACTCATTTCTGTCCACAAATGCTCTGTGAAATGTAACTGTTTGCTGATAAGATGTAAACATATATAAGCCACAGTGAGAGAGGACAAGAGAGGGACAGTGGTAGCAACAGTAGTGGGCTCTATAAGAGAAAAAGACCCTTATGTCTCCACTCCAATATTCAGAAGGGTGGCAGGGTGGCAGAGCCATCTCCATTTATGTGTCACTGAGTTTCCTGAGCCCAGAGGCAGGGGGAGTATTGGCAAGGCTGTTCTGGTGCCTGTTTAACTCAGTTAAAGTTTAAAGGACTGTGAAGGACTGTAAGCTTACCAATAAGAGTGGCCAGAGAGCAATGAGGTACTGTGGGTGTGAACCTGATAATAACCAGATAATCTTCTTCATGTATCTCCTTAACTTCCACACAACTTTCTGTTACCACTTCCAGTTCTTCTAAAGTATTAGGCTTCTCTGGGTCCCGGATGGTTCGAATTAAATCTGAAAAATGTATCACAGAAAGTGTGTCACATACTGACAGAAATACTCTAAACAAGTAACAGTTTTTTAGTCCCTGTACTGTTTTCTTCCCTGCTCTCTTAAGCAACCAATGTAATAACTAACCAGGTTTCTGACACACACTTTCATTGCTAATTTCTTTTTAAAAGAATGTTTTTTGCTAGCTTTTTTTAAGTAACATTGTTTTCTTGGGCTATTAAATCACGGCCAGTTTTGGGGATCTTAAATTTCAGAAGGTCTTTCATCTTTAGGTTGAAAATGAAAAAGATACACTGGTAAGAGGAAGTATTGTTGCTGAGTTCCAGTCGTTTCAGACTCTTCATGACCCTATTTGGGGTTTTCTTGGCAAAGATACTGCAGTGCTTTGCCATTTATTTCTCCAGCTCATTTTACAGATGAAGAAACTGAGGCAAACAGGGTGAAGTGACTTGCCCAGGGTGACAATAAGGCCAGATTTGAACTCATGAAGATGAATCATCTTGACTTCAGGCCCACCGCTCTATCCACTGTGCAACCTTGCTGCCCAAAAGGAAATATGCAATGCTAAGAATGGCCAGATAGTTCAAATTTAAAGGAAAGATCACTTTTAGCTGATGAAAAATTAAGATTTGATATTCAGATTTGGAATCCATAGGATCACAGATTAGAGCTGGAGGGGACCTCTCAAAGGTCATCTAATTCAATATCTTCGTTTTACAAATGAAGAAATTAAAGCTCAGAGAAAAGCAGCTTCCCCTCGGTCACAAAAACAGTAAGTGGCCAAGCTAGAACTCAAATGCAGGACCTCTGTCTCCAAATCCAGTGTTTTGCTACTGAACCAGGGTTTTTACTACACAGAACACTGTTACTAGCTACATAATCAAGAAATGAAGCCCCCAGTGTAATAAACAAGTGTGTCAAGACACTTTGCCTTGAGAGCTACTAATGAGAAGTTCTCTTCTTTGTAAAGATGACTAAGGATTTTGGTTCCAGGAACCACAACAGGTAAAGGTAATTTTGCCTTGTCCTACAAAAAAAGTGTTACATGGTGCTTGTTTTTTCCTGCCAATGCCAACAAACCAACTAATCAAAAATATTTATTAAGTATCTACTATGTGCCAGCTATTACATTAAGTGCTAGGGATCCAAGTATCTAGAATGAAACAATCTGTACTTGCAAGAAGCTTAATAGAGGAGACAACAAATACGTACATAAATATAAAGTGAATAAATATAAATGTAAACAAAATAGTTAAGTACAAGGTAGTTTGAGTAGAAAGGCACCAGCAGCTGGAGTGAATCAAGAAAGGTTTTATACAGAAAATGATGCTTAAAAGAAGAGGCAGAACTCCATGAGAGAGAGGTAAGGAGGGAGTACATCATAGACATGGGGGATAGCCAGTGCAAAGGCATGTGAGAGAGTATTATATATGAAGGAGAGTGGGAAGGCCAGCACGGGCAGATTACAGAGAATGGGAGGGAGAGTAAGGTCTAATGAGGCTAGAAAGGTAGGTTTGGGCCAAGTTATGTAGAGTTTTAAAAAATAAACAGAGGAATTTATATTTTATCTTAGAGGCAATAGGTAGAAAGCATTAACAATTTTTTCATAGAATTTGACAGAGAAAGGGAAAAAGAGACTGGAAAACAGCTTGAGAGGATGGTAGAGTCTGGTAAAGATTTTTAAGGAGATGAGTGATTATTGCTATGTGTGAAAGCAGTAGGGAAAGAACCAGGAGATAGGAAGATGAAAGATTTGAAAGAGTGGGGACTGTTGAGGATGGCTTCATATGCCTCTATACAAATGCACCAAAGTTTATGGGCTACAAGGTGAAATAAGGTTCCTAATGCAAGAAGGCAAATTTTACCTTTTTGAGACTTGGCAGAATATGGCTATGGAACAGTCTATTTTATTCAAAAGAACAAAATGCAAAAAATGGTGGAGGGGAAGAACTGTACATAAAGAAGTATGCTCACGTGAAAAAATCCAGAAACATGGTGGAAAGGATTTGGGTTAAGAACAATGGAGGGAGAAGAAAAGCATCATCATCATGAAAACATACCACTTGGATTCAGAGAGAGAGGAGAGAAGGAATTCAGGAAACAGATCACAAATCAAACATGGATAGGTGATATAGGGGCTTCATTTATTCAGACATCTGTCGGAGCTCATTCGCTGTCAAAAGTAGGATAGGGATAGAGACAGGGACAGTGACTGGACCTCTGAGTTCACTGATTCAGGGAGTCCTGCTGAGGAAGCTTCTTTTATCAATGTGAGTCAGCCTCTGTGCTGCAACTTAAGAGTCTTAGAGCCCTTACTATACATTCTTTACTTGTCATAATGATAATTTCACTATTCAGAAAGAAGGGGAAGTGTTTCAAGGGAAATATTTTGGAATCCATTCTGAGAAATAAGGAGAAACTGGTCACCGAAGCATAAATAGTAGGAACCGTGGGGGGAAATTACCACCTATGATATCGTTGCTCAATTGTTTCAGTCATGTCTGCCTCTTCATGACCCCATTTGGAATTTTCTTGACACTGGAGTGGTTTGCCATTTCCTTCTCCAGCTCATCTTATAGATGAGGAACTGAGGCAAACAGGGTTAAATGATTTGCCCAGGGTCACACAGCAAGTAAGGCCAGATCTGAACTCATGAAGAGGAGTCTTTCTTACTCCAGGCCCAGCACTCTATCTACTACACCACCTAGCCTCCCAGATGAGAGGAAAGCTAGGTATATTGTATGACAACTACATTACATTTTGGCAAAGAAGATCTCAAAGGACTTAGAAGAAAAGACAGCTAAGACCACCAGCCTAAAATTCTACAGAAATCAATCTTTCAAGACTGGAAACCCTCAAGAATGAAATTCTGAAGATGCAGAGAGAAAGGGAGAAAAGTCTAAAGAGACTAATGTAAATGTATAAGGAACTCAGCAACTAACTTGGGTCTTTAAAAAATAAGCATAGAACAGGAAAAGCAAGGACAGGTAATGGAGGATAAGTACAACAGTGTGACACAAACAGTGCAAGTATAGTATCAGGAGGACTAAAGTTCAGAATGAGCTGAGGCAGCAGAAAAACAGAGAAAAGGTGGATACCTATCAACTGCAGAATGGCTGCACAAAGTGGTACATTAAAAGATCAAGGTATTATTGCACCAAAAGAAGCAATGAATATGGAGGATTCAGAGAAGCCTGGGAAGCCTTGAATGAAGAAAAAATTATTAAAGTAAGCAAAACTAAAAGAACAATTTACAAAATTACTGCAGTAGTACAGAAGAACATAGTACTGAAAGATAGAACTCTGATCAGTGCAATGACCCAGCTTAACTCTAAAGAACTGACTGTCCTATCACCTTTCTCCTCTCATTACAGACTGTAATCACGGAATGAAGCATAGCATGGTCATCCATGGTCAATGTGTTGGTTCATTTTCCTTAAATATAATTATCTGTAATGACAGAGAATGGTGGGGAGGAGTCATTTAGAAGTGACATTAAGAGAATCAATAAAATATTTCTTAAAAGCTAAGGATGACCCCCCCCAAAAAAAAAGCCTCTGGGACAATTTTAAGGAGGAGATTAACAAAAAAAGATATGGGAAAGTTCAGGGTACTGAGAGAAGGTGGAGCTCCATAACTGTCAAAGGACTGGAAAAGGGCAAATGTTGTTCTAATTTTTTAAAAAGGGAAGAGAATGAAATATGCAAAACCATAGGACAGTAAGCATGACTTTGTTTCCTGGCCAGATTCTAGAATGTATTATTAGAAGGATTATTTGTGAGATTTAGAAAAGGAAACTTCAACCAACCTCATTTCCTTTTCTGACAGTCACCAGATTGGTAATTCAGAGGAATGCCAGTTTTATGAGTATAGAGCATACTTAGATTTTAGCAAGCATCTAATGCTGTCTTTGTGAAAAAGATCTCTAGAGAGCTGTGAGTTAGAAGACAGTAGAATTAAGAGCATTTAAAATGAGTTGAAAAAGTAAATCTAAAGAATAGTCATTAATAGATTGCTGTTACCTTAGACGAAGAATTAGATGACATACTTATCCAATTTGAGTATGAGATAAAACTGGAAGGGCTAGCTAATACACTAGTTAGGATTCAAAAATATCATGACAGGTTAATATCAGCCAAAACTAGTAACATGAAATTTAACAGAGATAAATGTAAAATCCCATACTTGGCTAAAAGCCAGTACCTGGTTTACAGTCTTGCTCATCCATACTGATGCCTCACAATAGACACATGGATGTCTCCTCAAATACCTTGTCATCCCAGTTCATCACAAGACTTTGATTTTCTCTACACCTCAGCTACAGAGAGACAAGGTCATATTCAAGGTCATACCACTACTTATAACTAACTATTCTAGCTCTTTGATCCATAACTCTGAAAGACCTCTGTCCTGTTATAACTTCTCATCCTTCAGTCTATACTGGCTCCTTCCCTGTTCCCAGGTTTTGTCCTGGACCCTCCTTTTCTTTTCTCCTACATTATTTTACTTGGTGATCTCATTAGCTCACATGGATCCAATGATCATTATGCTAATGATTCTCAGATCTACTACTATCCAGCCCTACTTTCTCTCCTAGCCTATAAACTGGGATTTCCAAATGTCTGTTAGATTCTTAAACTCAGCACATCCAAAACTGGGCTCATTAACTTTCCCCTAAAACCCTCCCCTCTTTCTAACTTATCTATTACTGTCAAGGACACCACCATATCCTTAGTACTCAGGCTTACGACCTTGTAACCTTAATTCCTTATTCTCCACACCCCCCATATCCAAGTCCTGTCATTTCTACCCTTGTAGATCTTTTACATATGCCCCCCCTTTTCTCCTCTGACATGTCACCACACTGATGCAGACCCTCATCACCTCACTCCTGATCTACTGCCATTGACCCTACTGGTTGGTCTTCCTGCCCCAAATCTTTCAATGCGCCAAGCCATCTTCCACTCAGCTGTCAAACTGATCTTAAAACACAGGTCTGACCT